TCTCTCTCTCTCTCTCTCTCTCTCTCTCTCTCTCTCTCTCTCTCTCTCTCTCTCTCTCTCTCTCTCTCTCTACACACACACACACACACACACATACATACACACACGAAAATATGATCCTCTATACTTCAGCTTCCTTTGTTCCTACTGTCATTTAGGGTCTGATTATGGTCCCCAAAGGTCAATAAAAGGGGTCGCAACGACTGTTTGTAAAAGAGGCCCAAAAGATTCATACATCACCACTCTTACAGCGCATGTTAAACCAATTTCGCATTCCCCAGATGCACTCTTGCTGGCACGTGGGACCACGCCCCACTGGTGCTATGTTACTGTTTACCAAGGATGAATCTGGTCATAAAAATGGTGAGATTCTTGCATTACTAACAGACAAATAGCACCAGTGACGCCCAACCCTTACCTTTACCCTAGCATTTTACGATCAAGCCCCTACTGGTGACATGTTAGTCCTTAGAAAGCAACGACCTACCGTCTTCACCCGAATAGAACGCCGGGTAATTATCGCCGAATCTGGACTGAAAGTTGAACCAAATACAGCTATCATGACCGGTCGTTCTATTCGGATGAAGACGGTAGTCATAAAAATGGCTAGCTTCAAGCTTTCCTAACACACACATAGCACCAGTACGTCCCCCCCAACCATTCACTTTTTCACTTCCTGTCCTCATGCATTATACCCCTGTCAGTATCGTCACCACAAACTTACTCCTGGTTCTGCCAGTGTGATGTTAACAAGAACCTAGTCCTAAATTTGGTTACATTCTTGCTTTGCTAGCATCACCCTCTCACTAGTGTGCTACTGTTGAGCAAGAAGATCGGAGCCAACTGATGCTCTTTCTTTTTCTTTTTCTTTTTCTTTTTCTTTTTCATTTTTTATCACCCAGCTGATGCTGAAATAAACAGAAGGAATGAGAGCAGACTTCAACAACACGCACTCGCACAAAACACCAGTACAGTACAAGGACCGCGCCAGACTACCCATGAAACGACAAACAGAAAAAGAGTAACTACTCCCACAGGAGGAAATATAGTAATATATACATCCGTTCCTATGAATAGGAACATCTGTATTCTGCCACTTTCCTAAGGAAGATGCACTCGTAATTTTTCATTTTCAGCAGTAGTGTCGCAAAAGTGGCAAGGCTAGAAAACATGTCCATTTTGATCGTCGCTCTAGGACTTAGTTAGCATGCAACTCATCTGCAGGTGGCGAACTCCAGACTGAGTTTTTGGAAGGATGCTTCAGAAATGAGCTTGCGACTCGCCTGCCGGTTAACCTCGGATTTTTTTCACATTAGACTTGTTCGGCTGCATGAGCAGCCTGAACTACGATTTGTTTGTATATTGTGCAATTTGTCACCAGTATCTCAGACAAAGAGAGAGAGAGAGAGAGA